CGTAAAACGAACTTAAACTAGGCCCTCAGAGCTCCGACCTCCGACTTCCTGATTTATAGTCGCCATTTATCTCGATATTCTTATATCAGGATCATTGCGGACACCTTTTGCATTTTAAGTTGGTTTGCAGATGGACGAGCTCACGTTTTTCTTTCATATTTCTTTTGTAATTTTTTGCTTTTTCAGGTCAGATGATGTTTTGGTTTTGATTTTATTATGCGGTTTGTGCATGTTTTCCTGTAATTGCGTTAAAAAATATATTTGGTTTCGTGGCGGATAAATTTACTACTAAAATTGACGCCTAGGACCCAATTCCTAAGTCAAGCTTTAAACTCACTTTCTGTACCTACATAATGTAATTAAAAAAGTATGGGGCAAAAAGTTAATGATCCCTGCTTACGTTGTAAATATCAGTGTCTATCTTAAAAACAAATTAGAAACTCTAGACCTTAGAAGGCATAATGATTACAACAATACTTTTAATTACATTACAATTAACTACATAATCCAAAACAAAAATAAAATTAAATAAACTCTCTGAATAAACAAAAAATAACTGAAACCAGATTTCATAACAACAAAATTGTAACCGCCATTATAAAATACTGGCTGGATAAAAACAGTCGTTCTGATTTCGAAATTATTATTTGTTTTGGTCTCGACTCGTTTTACAAAATTCATAATTTATGGCCGTTGCCGCGTTGCCGATCCAGCACCAATTTAGTGAATTTAATAGTTAATTAGTCTGTTTTATTTTTGAACAGTTGGTTGATGGGTTAGTTGGTACGTTATTATGTCGAGTTTTACAGTCTGCTTATTTAGTCCAATGGAAGTGGCATTTTATTTTGTAACTAGCCCCAATTATGACCATGTTACCTTGATTTTTTGAAATGATATTGATCTGGAGTCTTAACTTTCCTAAGCAAAACAATTGCAATGTAATTTTGTTATAAGAGAAGAATCAAAACCCACGTGAACAATTCTGAGACGAAGTCATCCGTAAATTGAACAATGTAACTCCCAATATTTTTGACAAAAGGCAAACGTGAGAAAATTTCAACGTCGACGACAATGGGGGCATGTCGAGTGGTTATACACCAGAATTGAATGACAAAGGGAGTGAAACGATGTGAGGGTGGAGCGAGATGCGCGGACAATGCCAATGCAATTGAATACCGCACTTGACGACATATGAAATATGTATTGGTGCTATTCTTGCCGTCAGTTGCGGTTGGAATACGTGCCACAAATCCGCTGATAGTAGCATGATTCCTCTTAGGATCAGTGTTGAAATATTGGGCCTGCCACTTCATACACCTGCTTTGTTTTTCAATCAACAGTATTTTTGACAGATTAATAAAAATGTCAAAAAACATACCTACACGTAAATATCATTCCCTGAAATATGTAATACACTATCCTATGTCCTCAAAATGTAGTCCAACTGCACTACATCGTCCCTAAAAGAGTTTTAATAGACCATTTTAAAACATTTTATATTACATGCGAGACTAGTTGGCTCGGGTAATAGGTTCAAAGTTTTTCGAGAGAAAAGTTCTCGTAATAGGATCATTTAACTTTTACCGTTTTTTGTCCCGTCACTATAAGCCAGATGCCTACATCAGAATTAGTTAAGCTCCGTCTCTTTTAGAGGACTAAACTTTATGATACCAGTTAAATACTGTATGAAAAAAATAACGAGGCTTGAGAATATTTTACTAACTTTTCAGGGTGAACATTAACGTAATATTGTAGTAAAAAAGTCTTTATTAACTCATAACTGAATTAAATCAGAACAGTAACACTAACCATTGGTTGCTCTGATTCTCTTGAATCTAGCACAAGATCTTTCTTGTGCCTGGAAGTTGGGATCAAACTGTAGTCTATCAATAAGTAAATAAGTACTAACTAGCGATTCATCCATATCAGCTCCATAGCAACCACAAGACGTCTACTACTTAAAATAGTAGTTCCCGATCATTTTTAAATTTTCCACCGTCCAACATACACTACTGTACAATATTGGCCAAAAGATAATTGAATCCTCGTCAAAAGAAGGAAAAATATCTCCCTAAATATATTCATAACACAATCTGAAACGTGTCAGGCTGCTAGCTTCCTGGCTTTACATTTTTCTCGATAGCTAATTATTTTCCTTTGTTTTAAATGTACACGTGGACTGCCAAGCAGCTGCGAATGACGAAACAGAAGAATTAATATAATTAATCTTCTTTAGCAAAGAAAACTTGACACGCTTAACAAGACTAGCATCTTTCGAAATTGAGAATAATTAATATTGCTCGTAGTTTGTTTGTTTATTTATGTTTTGCGTGTATTTATTCTCAACGTAATTAACTAGTGTCTATCATCATTCTTCTGTTGTAATCCTAATTTATTTGAGGTTAGAGCAGTCCGCTCGTGTATGGAGAAGATTTATGCATTTGGGGTGTTGTTTTATATGATAATGTTTTTTTTTAATTCCTGAATAACGCTTGATTTATAACCACACTGGTGTCTTTGAACTTCTCACATTATTTATTTATCCACCGCCACATTTCGATATATAAAATATCACGCCCTTTATCCCTGAATGGGTAGGCAGAGGTGTACATTACGGCACTTAATGCCACTGTGCAATGTAACACCCACTTTTTACTATTTATTTTAGAAGTCCCATGGAAAAGGGGGTGAGTCTATTTCTATAAACCGGGCACAATTTCAGACTCCGTGCTACGATTGAGATTTTTTTTTAAACCCAGTAATACTTTGTGCGAACGAGAGACCCTTTTCCCGGCAGACGCACTTGCAGCAACTTGGCCAACGAGGCATTAAAGAGGCAGAATTATTTATAATTCCCCCTTATTTCAAATATTTAACATGTACTACCTACATGATAAGGAATAAATTCGTTTGAATTATTTACGTCCTCTATAGCCACTGTAGCCAATCAATTCAATTAGTGAATAGTGACCTAGTTTCAATTTCTAAAATAGACAGTGAACTAGGTATTATATCGAGCTTGATGTGTCAAACTTAAATATTTACTTAGCTTTCAACCCAATATATTGACAGTTACTATTGTAGTATTAAGAGTTTCACAATTATTTAGTGAAGCTATTGTCGCTTGCTATTTCGTTTGTAGCTTGAGTCTTTTGTTTTCGGTTAACTGATGTTGATCAGTAAATAGTAATTTGTATGATGTAAAATCATTAACCTTACCATATAATAGGGATGATGACAATGTATGAAAATTAAAAATCTAATTAGTCCATCAGTTAGGTAATGAAAAATTAGACAAGTATTTATTTTATTTTAATGTATAATACAATGATACTTAGATATAACGATTTAAAGTTTAGGAGTGGGGGCTAAAACGTCATTTCTGCGTATAAAATGTACCTACATAGAAGTGACGTCACGCGACATTTTAAATCAATATATCGTCGAAAGTATTCATTTCTGTAAAATTCGTATGTAATATTTTAAAATAATCTACTAGATGGACATTAAAATAAAAATTAGTCATCTACCCTATTAATATAGAGGTTAGACTAAAAAAGGTTGTGAGACGATTAACGAATTTGAATTCCATGCAAAGCAATCTATTTGTTTTGACTTGGGGTGGGGTAGAAATATTTGTAATCACAACCACAATATAAAAGGAAATTCTAGTCTTATGCAACTGGTAATAAAATTGAAATTCAAAATAAATATAACAGATACCTAAAGTATTTTTAATGATTACACCCTTATTATGGAACATGTATAAAAGAAAAAAGATGAAGAGAAAACCCTTTATTACGCCATGACACACACACATAGACAAGAACACAAACACACAACAAAATGATACATGAGTAGGTATCTAATTCCATATGATGTCCATAGTAAGGTTACTGTACTAACTATATATTACCGTATTAAATAATAAATTTAAATGGAAAGCCTCTGTTTGTTCGTTTCCTTCATAAATCCTTGAGACTAACTTTGAATTTCGTGACATTTAACGATTTGAGAGTCGAGAAAGTAATTGTTTTATAAATTAGGCCTTGGTTTCTAATAATGGTGAGAAATGTAAGCGACGACATTTCGAGTTATTACGTTGTATAAAATAATTATTATTACCGTTCCATTTCATTAAATAATGCTTGTTGTTCCTTGGAGATATCACAAAGGTTTACACTTCTGTATTTATTAGTCTTTATTTATTTACCATATACCGGGCACAATTCCAAACTCCATGCAACTACTGACATTTTTTAAAAAACCCAATAGTAATTTGCCGGACCCGGGAATCAAACCCGATAGTCGCTCTTGCGACCACTCGGCCAACGAGGTAGTCAATCGTATTCTAAAATACAGCAATTTAGAACTAAATTTTGAACTAGACATAATAGACGTACCGTACTTAAAAGAAAAATTATAAACCGAAACTTTAACAATTCCTTCTGAATTGCATTTAAACATTTAAAACACCAATAAAAATTATTCAATAAACTTTATAAAGGTAACATTAACAAACAAACCCAAATCATTAAAATAAATAATAAAAAATTCTAATACATCTCAATGTACCTGTTCAGTTTTATTCAAAAGTAGTGGTAAAGCAAAAAGCAGATGTTCCTGGCAAAGTGTAAGGGCACTCATGTTTGGTTCGTTAGCCAAATTAACGTGTTAGCCCCGGACTGGTTCTACAGTTTGAAGTGCGTCTCCGTCACAGGAATGTCTAGAGATGTTTAACCTTCATATGTACTGGCCACTACACATTAATGGCTTCGTTTAGGTTTTGAATTATTTTTCTTTTTTGTTTGTATTTAGAACGATGGACCAGAATTTGAATTTAAAAATCAATACTCATATTGTATCTATTCATTTTTTCAAAGCGCAGTGTGATAAAAAATCATCTTCAAATCAGCCGCAAAACGTCTGCTGCTAAATCCATCGGGTAGAAACGATCAAGCTATAATAAAAATATCTACTTATAAACACAAAATACTTACATGGGTAAAGTAATAGTAGTAAACTTCGACGCCCGAATCCGCCAACACTTCCGCAAAGTAATTAGTGGGGCACACGAAGAAGTAGTCTCCCACCACGTCCGCAATCATTTTTTGGTTCAGATAACCATCGGTAATTTCCTCCCAGTCCGTATACTGAAACAGAAACAATCTATTAGAACCGTTAAAAATAGACCGACGCTATTTAATTGGGTCAGAGCGGACTGAAATATCTTTTAGTGAAGTATTTATAAAATATTTCATAATTTTCACTAAGTTTTTTACTTTTCCTACGATGGACGTCCATTTTACAGTGCACTAGTGTCGTTAACCGTGAGTCAAATGAGGTTTCATCTCTTTATGATGTAATTGGGTCAGATAGCAATGGATGAGGTTTTCGGATTTTGCTGTTCTTTTTCTGAATTAACTATGAAATGAATTCAAATTTAAAATGTCGCTAGTGTGCTTTTAAAGTCACTTCATTACGAAGTTGTTGTGTAATATACTCTCTGAATATATTCCTCCATCTTATGCATGTCTTGGCAAATTGGACTTGCACTACACAAAGCAACCATTTAGTAATTAATTGCCTTCGCATGAATGTTTCCGTATTCAAGGCTATTCATCAAAGTCTGACTTTAACTCGTAAATTGGCAATTACAAGTGCAGCGACGAGAAAAGCATTTTCGCATTATTGACGGTAATTCGAGATGGACATCCTTATTACTGAAGAGGATGAAGAGATGAGATGAAATCACGCCAATTTCTACGAAGTTATTGATGCTTGTAGGTTATAAAGAGGGATAAAGGAACATATTGCTTTCTAAGATGACATGGTGTTTTAACAATCACTGTAGTATATTAAGATCTCATTTTTTTTCTATCTTTCAATTATAAATATATTTTAGTGAAAGTAACACAGCGTTCTGCTGATTAAATAATTGATCGTTTGACTACATTTTATTACATAGTTAGTTGATTTAAATAGAAATTCGAAGTACATTTATTAGAATTTGTGCATTTTAGATTATGACTAATAAGAAGAGAATTGCTGTCTCTCAAAATAATTGCTGTCTTTGAGTTATGAGTTAACAATGAATATCATTTCCAATTAAAAGAGAAGAGAGATCAATGACTGTAACATCATTATTTCGTTAACATTTTGGATGAACAAGAATTTACTTGTTTTATTATTTGTCGTGACAATCGATCCAAAGATAAGTAACAGACATACAACTAGCATTGTTTGTCTTTGAAATGAATGGGACCCTAATTACACAGTGTATTAAAGGTCTTAACCCTCATCATAATGAAGGAACTTTGTTTAATTTTAAACAATATGAGCCTTGTAATGTGACCTTTATATGAAGATATGAATTAGTTAGACTGCCTCGATGGCCGAGTGGTCGCAAGTGCGACTGCCGGGCAAGGGGTCTCGGGTTCGATTCCCGGGTCGGGCAAAGTATTACTGGGTTTTAAAAAAAAAATCTCAGTAGTAGCACGGAGTCTGGAAATGTGCCCGGTATATGGCAATAGGCTCACCCCCCTATTACATGGGACTCATAACATAAATAGTGAAAAGTGGGTGTTACTTCTGTGTGCACCTCTGCCTACCCCTTCGGGGATAAAAAGCGTGATGTTACGTTATGTTATGTCATGTTATGAATTAGTTACACATTTATTTGTTAATAAACTATTTAAGTACTTACTTGAAAAACGATAGCCTCCCTCTTAATTTTGGAAAAGTCCTTGAAGATAGTGTCGACGATTTCAAGAAATTTCTCCCGCTGCAGAAAACTCGGTCCGTCTTTTTCAAAATAGTCGAGGAAATCGTAGAGCAAGAAATAGGTTCCTGAAACGAGAATACATAATTTATTATGTTAATGCTGCATTAAAGACGTACCTGCTATGCAAATCTCAAAAATGAAGACGTTGTAGACATTAGGTACAATGAACGGAGAAAATGTTGGCATATTTAATTGATTTTATTGGTAGTAAAATAATCTTTTCTATTATTATGTATTTTCAACCATAAACGTCTCATTGCAGTTTTTTGTATAGTTACATTAAAATATTCACTGAGAATTAGTTCGATTGCGATCTAGATCAATCAAATAGTCGATATATTATGTAGTTTAATTATCTGCCTTAATATATGTGTTGGTTAAGTCTGGACTAATTGCAGTATGCAACTTTATACGTAGCATGTAAATAATATCTGCGGTATAATGTAACATGTACTTAAACGTTGTCAACTGGTCGTCACAAGAAAATGTTACTGGACTTAATAAAATATTTCAAAGTATCTCAGTAACTAATTGATTGATTTCGATGTCAGTCTCACACAGCCAGCCTTCTATTGTGATATATAATTAGCCTACAACGCGAACGGTTTCAATTCAACATTTGTTTGCGGTATCATTCATCGTTTATGTGATACAGTTCAGCCATTATTTTATCAAAGCTAACAAATATGTTTTTATTGAATAATTGTTATATTTATCTAACAATTGAAAATGTTAAAATGTTCATTTTGCAAATATTTAATCATTTACAAGCTTCTGCTCGCGACTTCGTACAGTTTTCGTCCTGTTTTCTCCCGTTCCCGTATTTTCAGGATTTTTTCTGTCTTAAGAACCTTCTCTTAACAAATACTACAAAAAAAAAAAACAATTAGTAATATCGATCCAGCCATTCACGCGTGATGCTGTTCCCAAGAGAAAAGGAATTCATGTTTATTGTACCAATATAGATAGAGGTAGTTAGTAGAGTAGTTTTCAACAAATAAAAAGCTCTCTGTAAATACGGTCTTTTAGAGATAGATAAATAAAATATCAATTCATTTTTTGTTCTTTAACATTTTATTTTCTTATTATCCTTACTAATATTATAAATCGGAAAGTGAGTTTGTTTGTTCCACTTTCGCGCCGTCAGTACTAAACCGATTGCTTTGAATTTTTGCAGACGTGAAGTTAGAAGTCTGGATAAAATAATAGGATATTTTTCATCCCAGAAAAAATTGAAATTCTTGGCGGAAAACGAAATTATTGGTATAGCTGGCGCTGTGTGTATTGGTATATGTCACATAGGCTACTTTTTATCCTTTTGTGACGCGAGCGAAGCCGCGGGTAAAAGCTAGTAATTTATAATTGACAATTAAATTCTCAGTAAAGAAATTATATATAACAATCATAAGAGGTTGCTCAAAAAATTCTTAAGCGCAGTTTGTTACTCATTATTTTTCGAACACGTGTCGTTAATATGGGGCAAGCCTTTTGAATTTTTTGTCGGGCACAATTCCAAACCACTCGAAAACTGGACGGTCATACTCAAGATCGGTACATGTTCTACCTTTCAAATACATAAAAGTAGAATTAAGTATAATATTATGTACCGAATAACATGAGTTAAGAAATACGTAGAAATATTACGTTTGGATATAATAGTAGCGATATTTTTTGAGACATTTTCCTGTGTTTACGTTTACATTTACGAGCAAATATTTCACACGCTATAAAAATATTAACGTAACGTAAGAATATTTGCGTAAAGAAGTGTAACACTTTAGCTCTATTACATTTGACAAACTGAATATCTGTGATGGAGGGTTAGAATGTTTGTTACTGTACACTAACCCTAATCTTGCCGTGGGTATAAGCAGAGTCAGGTGTGACCACCCGAGCGTTTTAAGGGACTGCATATTGAACATGAGTTGGACAGCAGTATTCTTTGATGAATCTGAGCCTTTTAAACTGCTATATGCTCCAATTTTTTTAATCCCTGAATCCGCAACAATTCTCAAATTCTTAATCCCCAAAAGGCTGGTAACTCACTTGTAACATCTATGGCATTCCGGGTATCTATGGACGACGCCGATTGCTTACTATGAGGGGATCCATCTGCTCGTTTACCAGTTAAAAATTAAAAACAATAATAAAAAAAACAACAAAAGATCAAAACCTAACAACTCCATTAGTCCGATGCTTGCTTTATTTACTTCGCCTAGTATTATAAAAACTGTAAAGTACAGCAGAATTGCAACTACTAAGGCGGACTGACGTATCTTAGTTAAGAAGTTAGTGTCTGCTCACGCGAGCGTCACTACTACTACTTTAGTTTGTAGCTGATAGCTACAAACTAAAGTAGTAGTAGTAATATTAGCTGATAGCTACTACTTTAGTTTGTATGAGTATTTATCACTAGCACCTAACCGCAAGAAAAATAACTTCACGATTAAGAAAAATATTTTATTAATAGAATTATTAGTAATTAGCTTAGCTGGGAAACTACGTACCGCCTAAAATTTTTTATCACCTTTCTTTTTTTTTGTTATGGCATAAGCCGGTAAACGAGCAGACGGATCACCTGATGGTAAGCAATCGGCGTCGCCCATGGACACCTGGAACACCAGAAGCGGTACAAGTGCGTTACCGGCTTTTTGGGGATTAGAAGTTTGAGGATCGTTGGGGATTCAGGGATTGGGGAGATTGGGGAAGGGGAGGGTAATTGGGCCTCCGGTAACCTCACTCACACGACGAAACACAACGCAAGCGTTGCTTCACGTCGGTTTTCTGTGAGGCCGTGGTATCACTCCGGTCGAGCCGGCCCGTCCGTGCCGAAGCATGGCTCTCCCACACTTCAAACCTTCCCTGGACGTCCACGAATATCTCAAGACATAAATTAGCTAAATCGGTTCCGCCGTTCCCGAGTTTTAGCGAAACTAACAAACGAAAATTAATTTTTATTTATATAATAATACAATAATACAAATATATTATTACAATTTTGTTGTAACTTGATCCAACTTGAAAACTGACAAAAGGAGGTAAAATAAGACCTTGAAATAACATTCTTCCTCGATAAAATTATAATAAATAATTTTCCTACAAAAGTGAGGTCTACATGTAATAAAATCGTAGGAAAATGAAAACTGTACATCGAATATTTTTTATAAGAATGATTTGGTCGTGATCTACAGTCGATACCTAAACCAGAAATCCTAAACCAGAAAACCTAAAAAGTATGTATGTCCAGGATGAACTCAAAAAGTGCTGCATGGATTTATTTCAAATTTTGCATGAATAAGTAGTACTAACAGGTTGGGTCATCATGTAGGGTATATATTATCATGCTATCAACTACGGAGGCGGAGCTGTGAATCACTATTCCACGCGAATGAAGTCGCGGGCTCAGTTAGTAAATAATATAATAGTTTAAGCTCGTGCCAAATAATTGAGAACACGCCCCTACAGGCCAATGTACACAAATTCAGACTTCGTAATTACATTTGGAACATTTGAAGGGAACAATACTACTAAAAACTCTATCATATTTTCTCGACTCGGAACAGGAATCTTATTATCAAAAGGAAAATTTCAACTACTTAAACAAAGCGAACGTAATATAATCTTCATGTTATTCTATACACAATAAAAGTACGCACCTCTATAGGATAAACATACAATTTTCATAACGATTAGGTACAAACATTTTATCTCAACCCTGAAACAACGCCCTCTATCCGTTCCGACATAAAACCTTTTATTCGGTAACCTCGTCAATTTTTAATGACTTAATGTTTACGAGCCCTTGATAGAAAAATGACAATTATTACTGAATACTCGTAATAGTTGTAATAGGGTCGATAATATACGGCATGTAGGTCGCGATGCCGCCTGGAGAAATATTAATATTTGTGCCTAGGCGACACGTTGACACCTGAACTAATAAACAAGATGAAATGAGCTTGTCACGCTGCTGAAACTAACGAACTATCGTACATATCGAATCAACGAACCGGAAAAATCTTGTTCCTACCAAGAAAATACGCTTTTGTTGTCCTTTAACGAATAAATATTTATGTTTTGAGATTTATACCTCTATGTTATAAGCAATAGAGGTCCATTTTCCTAATTACTGCTAACAATATCTTTGTGATGATGATACAAAGATGACGTCAATCATTATCTTTATATATGTATAATTAAAAATGAAAGTCGTTTCCCGTTGTCACACCATAACTTGACAATGGCTGGTCTGATTTGGCTGATTTTTTTTTGTTGTGTTTGATTTATCGTAAGAACCTGCTCCTGACTATTGTCAAAATTCAATGCAGTCAATTGAGATAAAAATCTGAAAATCTTATGGGAACGGGAGAAAACGTGATTGCGCTCGCGCTCGCGTACGAAGTCGCGAGCATAAGCTAAATTACCTATAGTTTTTTTAATCAGACTGTTTTTGTACTTCAATATTTAAAAAAAATATAATTGATTATGTAACGATAAATTATTACAGGGTTACAGATACTATTCTCTCTATTGTTACATGTTAAATGATATTGTAATCTACTACGTAGTTTGTTTAGAAGTAAACAACGACTTGGGATTCCCAAGTTATAATTTTATTCGGAAACTCTGTCTCCACTTGGCAATGTAAAAACTTATTAGACAAACAAAATAATAAAAAAAAAAATCTTCTATAAAACACAGAACTTCCAAAATATAAAGCAATTCTGTCTAGCATAGAAGCTTCCACTAGTGTTGAGTGGAACATATTATGTGATACTACAGTATCATATTGTTATACAGTACACTGTATAACGGAAATTATGAGACATTGAGGAAGGATTTAAGTCAGATCTATTACGAAAGTTTACCAAATGAGTATTAATTATCTTATTTACTTTATGGAGAAACTAATTAAGTATGAATCATTACATAGATGCCTCTAGTCTGTAGAATACAAATAGAGGCAATTATTTATTGAGACTTTGAAAACTAGTCTATAGATTAGAAGAAATTATTGTTTTATATCTCTTTTGGTTTTTATTTTACTTTTCCTTTTTGCTCTTTT